CGCCAACTAATACTTTAGAAAACTATAACATCGACAAATACAAAAACATTAGAGAATGGATATCACAAAATCCATCAGAGTAAGATATTAAATTTAACCTCGTTAACTTAAATATTATAATTTGTATTTTACTTATTTGACGACAATTTAATTTTTAGCGTATACTAGAAAGATGAAATCGACAATCTATACGAAAGACGGTCGCTGATAAATATGATAAATCAAATGAAAGATATAAATATTTTGGTAAGTCAACTTTAGTAATCATAATTAATTTTACTCCATTATTAATATATCTAATTTACATTTTTTACTAGCATATTGATATAGAATTAAAGCTGTTGAGAAGACTTATTCACGATGGATCTCCCAAGCTTTCTAAAAATATGCAATCATGGACCTTAGATTCGAAAATGAATGTGTTCATTGGTATATAATTATAAAAGGAGGAGCTGCCCAGTGTGCAAGTAATTTCAATGCATTACAACAGTGCATAAAAGGAGAATTACCTGTATATGCTCGTCCGTGGATAACATACAACTATTTATTGATTCCATCCGCATATCCAGGCAATACATGGTTTCTTTTTCTTGTCGACTTTTAAAAGTGGAAATTTCATGTATATGATTGCAGCCACAACATTCATACACCGGACGCAATTAAATTACGTGCAGACTAGTTTTGACTGTAGTACAATCATTATTGGTATCTACAGACATTTTCTTCGGCAAACCAACTTTAAGAAAACATAGAAATAAGCATATGAAATTGAAAATCATATCGCATCTACCTTGTCAAAATAATGGGTAAGTATCTCAACAATTTACTGTAATATTTAATTTTCTATTTAATTTTATTTTACATTTACAACATTAATATAAACTAACTCCAAATTATTTTTTCTATAAGCCAAATTCTAGAGTTTTCCTTCTCAAATACATGGAATGCTTCGTTTTCGAATATCCATTAGAAGCAGTTTCACCAGAGAATATACGTTTATACAGACGAAAGATTGTCACAGATATCTATCACAATGAATATTTTTTACGTCCATGTTAGTCCTAATCATAACAAATTATGAAAATTCAGTAAAATTATTAAAATACAGTAAGATTCGTTTATCAAAATTCAATCTATAATCTTGTATTCATAGCCTCAAAATTATTTATTTTAAATATTTCTATACATTGGAATAAATGTAGGTTCTTCGGTGGCAAATATGAGATACTACTTAACATGAGAGATTTCAAAGTATCGCAGTCACATTTTGTTCTGGACATGATGATTTTTTATTCTGGACACTAAAAACAAGATATATCAGTTCAAGGGTGCAAGCTCCAATATTCATGAAAGGGCCAACGCATTAGAAGTAATTCAGTTTTTGTGAGAAAAATATCATGAAGGGACGTGTGATGTTGCAATTGTAAGTAAGAACTCTTTTAGTTGCTACGGCTGTAATTCTGTTTTCTTTTATGTAGATGTCTTTTTATAGATTCTACTTCTATATTTATTTTAATATCTATAAATATTGTTCCCCACTTTAGATGATGGAAAATTACAAGTTGAGTCAGATTCTGGTGAACTCTAGGTCTTATTTGATGGGTTTGCTCCAATTGGCAAAAAAGTTGCTACAGAAGATGATATTATTCCTGAAAACACTCCAACAAAATTTTATTGGTAATTATTCTTCCTTTTTTAATTTTATTGTTTTCTTTTACGATAGGGCTATTGCTCATATTGCAAATGTTACCGAATTTATGCTAATCACTAATGGTTTACTAAATTGAATCAGATGATGAAGTTGTTCTGCTTTGTTTACTTTGCCCTATCAATCAGGCCTACAAAATAATATTGGAATAATAATTTTTAGTGAAAATGAATTTTTCAATCACACGCCATTCGGTTATATAGAATTCACAAAAGTACATTAAAATAAGAGACTTGAAGCTGTTTGCTTGTTAGCCAATAGTTTGACTGGCGTGTGTTTTACATGCCTTTTCTTATTTTTAAATTATGTTCTCAATTCACACACATCATAGTGACTAATCTTAGTGATTGTCCTTCATTTTTATCAGCATTAGTGATGGCAAAGTCTAAATTGTACATAGCGAACTTTCCATGTCACTTCTGAAAAATAATAAATGCTATTTAATGAATTGTCGTGCTGAAGTATTTGTTTGGCACTGAATGCCCCCATTTAATATCAAGTCTGATGATACACAACTATCCCTGCAGACGCATTTATATAAATTTTTTGGGATACATTGTGGTTTATGTTTACTGAAATAGCAATGCTGTTTTGATTGAAATTCTTCTAAGTGATCATTGATATTATTTAAACATTTTTTTTGCATGTATTTAATGTTGGCAGTCCTTGTAGCAGACTTGTGGATACAAACTGTGTATTGGGCCATGTACTACAAGATGGGTGGTAAATTAATTTTTTCTTAATTTGTTTCAGGAGAACCACAGCCTCAGTCTTATGCTTTCTATAATAGATGGGATCTTATGATACAACAACTTCCAGTAGTATAATAAATTCCAATGTACATTACGTGTTAAATCTGATATTTCTTGCATATTAACATGTATCATAAGATATTATGACCTAGAGAACATAGCAACCTCTGATTTTTGCTTTATTCCACTAGTGTGACATCTCTACATCGGTTTACTATTTGATTGTCGAAGTGAAGTTTCTCATGTTCATATGTCCGTCTCTAATTTTCTTGTAGTGCTTCAATGGCTATGGCAACGACATCAGCAAGTTTCAGTTATATATGGATATATAGGCAGAATGTAGGAGAAACTTCAATTCTATGATGAGCTCCTAAGTTTGGTATCTCTGGCTCACAAGCTCTGATACAACAATTGTGTTCTAATTTCCAGTGAATCTTTTTAAACTATACTTGAGTATTCTTGTCGGTGGACATTGTTACCATTGAACATCTTACGGATACTTTTTCAGTAAGTAATGGTTTGAAAATGCAAACATGGTGCAGACATATTTTCTTAATTGCTTCAAATGGATATGGCCTAATTTTAGCATTTTATTGGTGTAATGCGTACTGGTGTTATGTTGATATATTCTATAATCACGAGCCAAAGCATGTTCTATCCTCGTTGAATTACACTTGCACTTGTTTGTAGTACAAGATCTGCAACGTACTATTATTGCTTATCATGTTGTGAAAGTTATATATGCTTTCTATCAGTAATTATTAATATCCTTCTTAACTTAACGCCTTGATGATAGATTGTGATATTGTAACTTATTAAATTTTAATAGTAGCTCTAAAAATGAAATCTAGCTTATAGCCTCCTTAATTGTTTTAGATCTGGCTTCATTTAGAATTATTTAGCACTCTTTAATTGAAAATGAGTATACTTTTCGAGCATTTGATTTAAAATGACGAATTTATAGCTTTACTGTCTGCCAAGTACTATTCTTGTTTTCCATGTCGTGAAAGTTTGATAAGTGTCACCATTCAAACAATTTTGTTATGGAAACGTGGAGGGAGCTGAAAGTGTGGAAGCTAGTAGTGGAAACATGGATGTATCTATCCATCATTCACAAAGCCTAGCCATATTTTCATAAATCTCAACCTTCTTTTAAGGTTTGAAGTGCTTACAATTTTTTGTGAACCCTTTAAGAGTATCGAAACGACAAATGCAATGCAATATTTTGTTACGCTTACATTACCTTAAAAATAATATCACCCGTTCATTGCACGGGCAATAGACTAGTTATTTTAACAAATGAAAGATTTAAGTTCTGTTACCTGATTACATTTATATACATTTTCAAAGGGATATTCAAATGCATTTTCCATCAACAAATAGAAGAGGAGGAAACAACTTTGAGTTCTTTGATAATGAAATTGGCATTCAGATAAAATCGACATTAACTTTGATATGTCTTTGGGGAGTGACCTCTACATCCTTCTTTGTGCATATGAACTTGGAAGAATAAAGATGTATGTACACACAAGGGGGTTACCAAATGGTTTACACCCCCTCACAAACATGCGGATCCCACCTGTTACTAAATAATTCGAGCTGTGGTCCCCACTTTATGTCGTGAGTAGTGTGTAAAAGATTGTGTACATGTAGCATGATCCGAACTTGGAATCCTTACAAAGGAGGGACCAATTTTGAGGGACAAGTCAATCAACATAGTTCTTAGGAGTCCATGTATGACAATTTTGGCAACCAGGGACAAGTCAAATCAACAAGTGTCGTTAAATATTGAGAAAAAACAGTAAAACACGTTAAATTACTATCTTGACTAGACCGATCTTTTCTCCATCTTTCCTTTTTTTTTAGAACAAATCGAAGAATCCAATGGATCGAACTTAAACCCTGGATGGCTGGATTGCCTCGACAAGTGTGTTCAGCCCATACCTGATTCTCGAACAAGTTGATCAGTTAGAACAAATGCATTCTAAATGCAAACCCAAGTCGCACAGGCTAGGAACAGAAGTATTCGGGTAAATCTCAAAAGAAAAGAATCCTGGGGCCCTAGCAAACCCATCATACTGGGTTTAAGCAGAACATGAACCTCACCTAATGGAATCTTCAGTTCTAATCAACAACAGAATTAACTACTAAAGTTTGGAGTGGAGAAAAACTGCCATGTTTATAAGAGTAATGATATTTGTACATACCGATCATTTTGTACATTCTAGTACTACGATGTCATCATTCTGTACATAAATATGTAAACCCTGATATACAGAACAATGATATGGAATAGAGAGAGAAAAAAGGAAGGAGAAAAAAGAAGTCATTGAATATAATTGACATCATCATTCTATAAATTAATCTGTAAACTATGATGTACAAATAGAATTATTCTATCCATAAACAAGTCTACTCATGAAGAAGTCATCAACCACTCTAACAGACCATATTTGTCTGCAAGTTTCTCGGTCTCATAAATCTACTTATGTTACTATCGAAGATATATCATCTTTTCTAACCAAATTAGACACCCAGTCTGAAACAAACTAGTGCAGTAAAGAGAGATTATTACCTTTCATAATGAAATGGAACTTGAAAGAGAAATGGTAGCAAATAACCATACAACAAACGCACCAAATTCTATTAGGAATACATTTGCTAAGAGGATAAAATATGAAATGCGGAACTAGTTGACTTATGGCACAATAAAGGGGACGACAGCTCAAGGGGAAGGCAACAAGCCTGGCAAGCTTATGACAAAATAAAGGGGACGACAGCTAAAGGGGAAGGCAACAAGCCCGGCAAGCATTTTAAGGCACCTTCAACCTATGTATTATTTCTTTTACCTTTTCCTTTTCTTCAGACGAGCAGTCTACGAAGTTATTATTTGATCATTTTCAGACTTTTTCTACACGGCATTCCTCTATCTTCCATATTTCACTTGCATACTGAGAAATTGTCCGATCACTGCTAAACTTTCCACTGCCAGCAGTGCTTAGGATAGACATTTTATTCCATTGTTTTCTGTCCCTGCAAGCATATGATTAAAGGTCAATCGCGATCCATAAAAGTTTGTTAGTCAATGTGTGGCAGCCAGAAAAAAGAGCATTTTGAACCGACTGTCACTAAATTCATGAAGCACTAAGGATTTCTTAAGTTAATTATTATGTATAATGCTAGGCATTGAATAATAGAAGAGTCAAAATTCGCAGGAGTCAATTTATGTCCTGTCAAGGGCCTAATAGAGCATCAACATATTATTACACAATGTATTATTTGTATTGTTGGAATATATATTGAAGACAGTCAAACATAACGAATGCAATGGCTAAGAAGGATAGAAAAAGACACCACCAACAAAAAGGACGACAATCAAATACAGCACCAAAAAGTTCAACTAAAGGAAGAAAATGAAACTATTGCCAAGGCAAACAACATTCTGGAGATATATGTTTATATTAGTTATCCCTTGCTACCAGTTTCAAAATGTTGTCATATGCTAATAGCAAACTACGTATTTTGAAAGAAGACTTCTATACAAAATGTTCAGTAGTGCTTTTAAATGTTCACAAGTTGTGGATCATGCGAAATGTGTTGATTATAAGTGAATAGTATTTGTGGATTCTATGAAATGTGTGGATTATAAGTAAAAAGCATTTAAGTCCCACAAAACGTGTAGATTAAAGTGGGTAATATTTGTGAGTCCTGTGAATGTGTGGATGGAAATAATGTTTGACTAGCTTAAATTATAATTAAGCTTTGCCGAACACGCAGTTAAAAGAGTTGATAGAGCAACAACAACTTACTCTTAATAAACTAGAATTAAAAAGACAATAAGATGCTATAGTTATGATGAGGAAAGAATTTTTCAGAGTATCTATTTTCTGTAATTGGAAATATTCACTTTATGCTTACATCTTGTAACATGAGAGAGAAATTATTGCATATTCAACTAATGTCCAAGTTATTATGAGAAAAGACACCTTTGGTATTAAAATTTATTCATGCAAAATTGCACTAGTCATTGCAAGTTAATTTTTTTACTAATACTTTGCATTTAAGACGCATTTTGTCCGCAGAGGGCTATCTGCAAATGTAAGTATTCCCTTTTAGTTGCTTTACTATCTAATAAAATTTTTACATCCCTTTATCAGGAACTACCAACTTGCCCCTCACCTGTGTCCTCTACATAATGATGCAAAATTCTTCATATCTCAAATCACCTTCATCTACAGTATACTCAACATATTGATGCAAAAAAGTTGTCAAAAATTAATGCCATCATCTCATGCACTTGAAAAAATAAAAAAATAAAAAAATGGTACCTTAAAATTCAGTATATATCTTAACTCGAGTAAATAACAAGCAGAACAATTTACCCTCTCCATGGGGAACTAACATATTTCAGTTGGGAAGATTATGGTTCATGTAGCTACTTACTTGTAAGATTCATCCACCCTTGCCTGAGCTTCCATGTAGCTTGGAAAGTCGTGCCCAACAAGAAAATAATCACCACGACCATATCCAGAATTACCCTCGAGTGAGTCGAGGAGTGGATTATAATCGTAGGTTCCAAACGCTCCAGATCTGACCAATTTTTTGGCCTCTTCGAAACGCGGATCGGGTTTGAACTGCACCATAAGTTGCAGAAATATCATCATTCCCAAGGCAATTTTTTTTCCTCTATAAAAATAGATCTCTCAGTATGGTAGAGGGATTTCTAATATATGCCCAATACCAAAGTGTAATGTCATTAAAAAACAACTGTTGTGGATGGGTTTGTAGCATAAGATTAGGCATCCGGAGCAAGTATCAAGACCTCTATACTTGTTTCTATGATTTGCCTTTGTCTTTCTTCTACCTAAAAGCCCCTTCCTCATTTCAAGCCGCAATGTCACATTTGCAAGTTAATCAGGTGTCAGCATATATAACAGAAATAATTAACCCTAGATAAAACACAAATTTACCCTAGATAAAACACAACTTTACCATTCTTTACCAAGATAACAAGAGCTAATGAACCGTAAACCCAAAAATCATTGTCATTTACCATGGCTACATTCTAAATAAGCTTAAGTTTACAGAACATAGAAAGATTTTACCGTTCCTTTCTCTCTTTCTTTACGAAGGCGAGGAACTTCATCTGCAGTGGCACCAAAAAGAAAGAAATTCTCCTCTCCAATCTCTTCTCTAACTAATGGAATGATTTAGGTGGTCAGGCATGTCTATGCAGACCTGAAGAAGATCCCATTCACAACCAATAGAACCAGTTAGAAGAAAGTGACATATACCAAAATTAACATGAGTGGGTGTGATCACAAAAGATTCGATTCCGTCAGATCATTTAGTAAATTAGAGTAAGATCTTTAATAAATAAAGTGTTGTGGAAATAATTTTTTTCCTCAATTACAATTGTCTTTAGAATCTAAAAAACTTTGTTATCGATAAATAGATTTTCTTGACATCAACACATCCAATGTTCTGTAAACAAACTTGTGCATGACTATATTTCAAAGAAGTGTGCAATGATCAAATTTATGCATGATGCTGCAGAATAAACTCTTACTGTGTGTGAAGACACCACACATAAGTTGGCCATGCGCACAACTGCCTTCTGTGGGTTGTGATCCAAAATGCGCATGCCAGAAAGTTTATTCTCAAGGTCAGGTCTTGTTGACTGGATCATGGAAATGAACTGCGCCATGCAAGAAAATATCTTGGTTAATAGAACCTTACACACACAGGTAGTTAATAGGTGGGGAATGCGATACCCTCTTGTCAATTTCTTCAATGATTTCCATATGGCGAGGAAGGAGTTTCCACATGACTGCTTGTGACCATTTTTCCAGTGCTTCAGGAAGGACTGTATGATTCGTATAAGCAATTGTCCTGGACATGTCATAAATGTTATATATGTGCACAAATTCAGAGGACAACATAGCAAGAAGCAAAGTCACAATAGTATATATAACTACTCCAGGATAATTCAGTGTAGAACCTTGTGGTGATATCCCAAGCTTCATCCCATCCAAGTCCTTCAACATCCATTAGCAAACGCATCAACTCGGGAATTGCAAGAGTAGGATGTGTGTCATTCAGTTGTACTGCAACTTTAGTGGGGAATTCAGACCACCGAATCTCATTATTTCCATTGCTCCTCTCCTTAAATCTGGAAATAATGTCCTATAAAAGACACCACTTAAGAGAACAGTAGATCAAGTAACATGTAATAGATTTCCATATCACTATTATACGAAGGACCTTGTTTCTTAATTACTACACACTAAGGAGGGAGATTCCTTCGGTCCTACGATTCAGGCATTCTGATAAGGCCTAATCAATTGAACAGTAAATTCTTCTCCACAAAACTTCACATGATGAACAACAAGTGTTACTTGGAGGTGAAAATCCCAACACCTTCCCAGAATCAAATTGGATATCTTTTCCAGATTGACATTGTATCATACGAGTTACAAGAAGAATCTTTACATTCTTAAATACTTTTGAGGGCTATAAATAATCTCTGCTGAAGAAATTATGCTTTTCACTTATGAATAATTTAATAGGCTACAATTTGATAAATATCAAAAAGCTTGTCTGGGTAAAATTACAATGAGATTACAATGTGGAGGAGTAATGTGTCATGTTAAATGTGTGGATAATAAGTGGGCTGTGGTTGTAAATGTGTGGTTAAAATTAATATGACTTTGAGTTTAAATTACAATTCTACCTAAACAAGCACAAAGTTCCCAAAACAAGTTTTGGGGAGGCCTCGACAAATTTCATTGGTTAAATTTGAAGTAGGGTCAGTGAGAAACCAGAGCATTTTGGTGGACTGCTGACAGCTTTTGACAAAAAAGAGCTCATCAATTACTTATGAACTGAAACTCACAATGTGTTCATACAGGAACATATAAGTGAGAGAACATCTTACCTGAAGCGATGCACTACATAGGAAAAACTGCTGCTTTAGTCGTAAAAGTTTTCCATTTTCAGTAGCATCCCCAGGATATAGAACAGCACAAATCTGCAAAAATCCACGATTCATACACAAAATCCGGCTGAAAGTTGGATCATGTATACCTCACTAAGGAGACAATCTTAAACGCAATAGATTAGATTACGGTGCACATTCAAGGATGTATATTATTGCTGTCCAATCTTTTCAGTTGGTTAAAAAACAGTTAAACCTGTTGAGCCCTGGAATGAAGAAGTGCAGCAGATTCGTACTGTCCATCATTGAACTGAAATAAGTCAAAGTCCTCGGCAGTAGCTTTGGCATCCCAGAGACGAAGACTGTTAGTGTTCTTGGTTTTGTATCCAGGAATTGGCACATCATATGCAACAGCTTGTAAGACCTCACCACCGACCCAGTTCCGGCTACATCATTACAGAGAGTTGCATGCATGAATTTAATTTTTCAAAGAAAACTTTTTGTTTGTTTTAATATCTTTAAAGAAACTGGCTCTATGAATAACTAATTTAGAAGTCAACATAACAAAATCATCATGTTTGAAGTTGCACTTACGAGCCATTAGGCAGAACCTCAACATGACCAAAGAATCTTATTGGAAAGACAATATCATGCCTGACAACTTCCCAGGGACTGTACTTCTGTGTTAATAACCAGAGAACAGGACTTATATTGTTTCCACAAGAAACGGTTAACCTTGGATTAACAGAATTTCAACTGAAAACAAACCTCCAACCAGTCTTCTGCAATTTCCTCCTGGCCTGCTTTGGTGATCAGTTGCTTGAACAGCCCATATCTGTATCTTAAACCATAGCCCCATGCAGGCAAATTCAACGTTGCCATTGAGTCTAGAAAACATGAAGCCAGCCTTCCTAAACCACCATTTCCAAGAGCTGCATCTTTCTCCTAAAAAATTCAATTTCAAAACACCCTTATAAAACTTATGGAAGAACTTACAGTCCAGATGAGATCCAATAGGATTATAATCCAAACCTGAGAGTAACTCGGCAATAGTTACCACTATTAAGCATCTAAATAAGAACTTCAGGGCAAGTCAATTGATTCATAATAGTAGGCCATGGATATAGGACTGACATAAAATATAAATATCAGGCATGTCAAAAAGAAAAGCTAAATACATAAAGGGTAAATGTTAACCTATCTCTGGAATGTAGTTTATATTACTTCGCAAAACCACTTGCATGCCGCTGATATAACTAAAAACAAAGGAAACTGAATACCAGCAGAACCAGAGTCAGGATCTTCATGTTACTTGGCACAACTATGGCAATAGGTTATCCCTAAGGTACTATTTTTATGATTTTTTTTCTAGACAGGATATGAAAGTATAGACAAAACGCAAGATGACACACATCATTTATGAAAGGGTTATTGTACAAAACTACCTGCTCTACAATATTCTCAATTTCATGACCCAGTTGCTTCAAAGCATTGGCATATGCATTTTGAATGTCAAGATTTCCAACTGCATTACTCAGTGCTCGTCCTTGGAGATATTCCATCGATAGGTAGTATGTCTGCTTTGGATTGGCTTTATGATAATGAAGATAGGTCTCATTCCATTGCTGCAAAAATAACATATTGTACATCAATGATTAATAAAACATCAAAGATGATTAACTATGACTTTAGCACAGAGAAATGCAAAACAATATAACTACTTAACTCAGACTGAAACTTCTTTCATAAGTTTTTATTATGTCTTTACTGGTATAGGGTGGCAAAATGTGATTTCCTTAACACAACATGATGGTAAAGGCATGCCTCTTATATAATGATAGTCATATTCAAAATAATGTCAACAGTTTAGTACAAAATTGAATGCATGCCCTAAAAAACTTTTGGATATAGAAATCATTGAATAAAATCAACAATCATTAACCTTTTTAGTGATAAGTTGAAGGAAAAAATAAGTCATGACCTCAAGCGTGTAGTGAACAGGTGCTGCACAAATAAACATGAGACAGAGATTCAACCAACAAAAACACAACCTTCCTTTTCTACTATAATAGTTTTCTGCACGAAACGGCAATGTGAAGTAAATAAGATAAATATCAGCAGACAAGGATTGAAAAAAGGTTCTAATATGAAGTAGAAACCAGATATTGTATAACACATACAAATTGTGGATAAAGGATTACCTTCATTTAGCATGAGTTTACTTTATATTTATTACAACAAAAACTACATAGCTTCCACGCGCCTATATCTGGACACACAGGTAAGGCCAGACTAACACGAGAAAAAATGCTACAGATCGAAAATAAACCATGGTCATAAGTAACATGGTCAAGAGATAAAAAGTAACTCACAATGTTGTATAGAATAGGCAAATCTAAGACGTTAGCTAATTTGCAAGTATTAAGTATTCGCATATCGTGTTTCTAGTGACAAGTGAATCAAATTTTCCCAAATGTCTCAACCAAGATATAAGTCACTAGTGTTTGAAGGCAAAATTTAACTAAACAAATGTATCTCTTCCCTACCAACTTAAGTTTATGGACTAGGTGGTTGAATAGTTCTGCAAGGTAGCAGAGTAGGTAAAAATTAATTTAAAGACAGTAGTCTTGGTTAAAGTCATGCTCGCACCCATTCATCGAAAAATTGTGCATGTTTCATGCCTTCAATAGAAACCGAATCTGACATACACAAGGGGACATGTTGAAGACTGAGCTTAAATGATTAAATTTTGCCTTTGTAAAATTCTTATCTTTCTTTAATAATTTAAGCTTTAAGATAAGGTAGTTCAACCACTAAGAATAGCCTGTCATTCCAAAAAACTATTACCATGCATGCTAGCAAACAAAACAGCGATATCATTACAATAGCAAAACTTCGAAGAACCAGTCAGTCAAACATACTTTTATCAATTGATCACGGATACTCTCTGCAGTTGCATAGTATGCTTGCTCTGGCTCAAACTTGAAAGGGGAAAAATGGGGACCGTATTGAGCATGGTAATTAATATTGGACGCAATCTCAGTGGGCTCCTCTGCCAGCGGATGAGCAATTGCTGGAATTTCAGCTGGGATCCCAGCTTTACCAGTTGCAGTACCGCTGGCTTTCAGTGTAGCAGCCATGTCCAGTAGTTACAATACCTGTGGAGAAAACTTCAAATCATAAGTTCATTTCATGCATGAGTTACACCTAATATCAGAATCATAATAATCATAATGATTGATTGATGCAAAAACCAAGATTATCTGAAGAGTTTAAAGAATAGAAAATGCAAAATTAAAAACCATAAATTCACCAACAAAAATCCCGCTATTAAATTTTTCTAGTATCACAAATTCAGAAGAATTAAAGAATTTAAAGAGTATATCAATAGCCAAATTCTAAATTCTAAATGTGTGCATGAAAAACAAAAACATGTGAATATACTTACTAAAAGTGACCAAAATTCCAACAAGTAAAACCAAAATCTGTAAAAATAAATAAGAAAAAATGAATTAGAATGGCATCAATCATTAAGTACTAATCGTAATCCCATTATTTATTTTTTTCTTAATATTACGAAATTCAGAAAAGGTAAAGAATTTAACAAGTACATGAAGTACCAAAGCTGTAATGCGCAGCCAAAAACAACTAAAAAATGACAGTAAACAAAACCCGACGTCGTGAATCACTAAAACAAATAAGCATACTCGAATTAAGAATGAAATATACTATCGATGATGATCCAATACCCAAATACTCGTACAAGCAAAAAATGTACTAGAAAAAGTGAAAGAATCAACGATTATAAAGTTATCGAAAAACGGTTTGAGGTCAGATGCTGATACAGTACACTAGTAGACATAAAATTGAAGATATTTAGAGAAAGTTCCAAGTTATGTTATGAAATATGCTAATTGACACAGATACTTGCAGGAAAAAAGCGTAAAAAAACGAAAAAAATTAATTAATTAAAGAGGGTCTCACTTTTTATGTGGTGAATAGCGGAATTGAAGAAGATTTATTTTCGATGGAGAGTATCAAATGAACCAAAATAAATATCAGATGAGTGAGAAGACTACTGTGTGAGAGAGAGAGAGAGAGGGAGTGACGAGTTCAATAAAGTGCTTTCAATTTTCTTCACTTGCAATCCTTCTTTCAACTTCTTCGCCTATATTTTCTCTCTTCGTCCGTTTGTACGAGGGTAAATTTATACGGATGTCCCAACCTTTCACAAGTGTAACTTTTCATCCTCAATTAAGGAAAATTGTCTAAATGCCCACGTGACAAGCACATGATATATGGTCGAGGGAGTGATGTAACCAATAAAGAGAAAAATTTAATGTAAGTTAACATAGTCATTGTTTGGTTTTCGAATAATTAAATATTTTTTGGATAATTTTACCATTTTAGTAACTTTCAAATAAATATTTTTTTATAGATATTTCACTCGCACAGTATTGAAACGTTGAGAACTTGAGAGTCATAAGTGAAGGGTTGAGACATGATGTTAGATACATATCGTATATTTTATTTGTAAGAATAATTAAATTGGGATCCACAAAGTTTGTCAACTTTTCAATACACATATTTTATTATCTTATATTAAAATATATTGAAACCCCAATTTTTATCAAAAAAGGGACTTAGTGTCACCAAATCCTTTGATTCTATAAAAAAAATATCATGCAATTTTAATGACATGTTGAAAATTAATTAATTTATTGTTAAATGACTTGCTTAATATGAAACAATAAGTTTGAGTAATGCTATTCACTCGTCTATGGAACAGTGGGGTCATATCACACTATTCTAGGGCTGGGCAAATCTCACAAATCGAACCGGCAGAACCGAATCCGACGGTTCTTGTCAAATTAAATACCCGAACGGGTATCTGAATTGAGAACCGACGAGTACGGTTCGGTTCTAGACCAAGAATCGAAGAACCGAATCTTTCTAATTTTTTTTATATTTAGTAAATCAAATTATTTTTATTTTAATTTTTTCTAAACAAATTAACGATTTCTAAATTCAAATTTTTGGCCCAATAATTTGTTTCATTTCTAATTTTTGGCCCAATTACCCATTTTATTGTTTCATTTCTTAGCCAAGTAAGATCAAATCCATTAAATAACCCTAAACACAAACACTAAAATGCATAACGTTGTCTCGACTCTCGCACTCACTCTTGCAGTCTCGCTAATATTTCAAAATCTATACAATTATCGGCGGACACTGTAACCTCCAATCGAAACTGTGACTTTCGCCAACCGAAACTTTGATCGTAGCGATCATTTGAACAAGGTAATTTACTAGTCTCTGAAATTCCAAAATCATTGAATGTATCATTAGTTGTATTTATATAATGTTTTTATAAATGTTAAAAAATTTAATTATAGTACAGAATCGAACGGAACCGAATCGAACCGAACTGAATCGAGCGGAACCGAACTCGAACGGTTCCATAATTATATTTGGACCCGACGGTTCCATTTATTAGATACCCGAAAAGTTCGATTTGAGAACCGAACCGAACCGCGCCCACCCCTACACTATTCAATGCATTCTTATCTCATTGCACAGTGTGAAGTGTGGACCCTACCTTATATTATAGATGGTTAGCCTCTGTTTGGTACAAATTAATTTTAGATTTTAATCTAAGTCAAAATAAATATTCAATTTTTAATTACATAATTCATGGATTTCACAACTTTTCAACCACATATTTATTAACTTCTATCAAAATCTACTAAAAATCTGATTTTAATCCCGATCAAACAAGGACTTAATTATCTTTAGTGGAGATAATAGCATTATCCAATAAGTTTGGGACCAATGATGCAATATTCCATTAAATTATTGCGGGAGTGCGTGTAAACGGATGAGCGCGCGCCTAGAGGGGACACTTCACGTGATCATCCTCTTCGGATCCATCAATTTCAGTGTAACATCCATCAATTTCAGTGTAACGTGTCAACTTTTTATACCCTTAATTTTCACGGACTTGTAATGAATTAAAAATAGAAGTTCAGTAGTGATTATGAAAATTGATTTTTTGATCGTTAGGGAGAAAATTGGATCTCAAATGTGAGTGAAAAAGTAAATATGACGCCTAAAATTATGAAATAACGATCAAAAAATTAATTTTTTAGAGTGAAAATTTGCTACCAAACGAGAATTAATACTCTATGAACATTATAACAAATAAATCTAAACTGATTTTCTTCGAAAATTGATGGTACCAAATGTACCATATTTAAATATGTTTAACACATAACATTAGATAATACAATAAATAAGATTTTAATTTATTTTTCATCTTCAATATTGTCTAGTACCATATAGTTTAAATTACCCAATAAAGCAAAATATTGGGTTTGACGTACTGTAATCATTCCATACAAAAAAATATATTATAAATTACTATGAACGGTAATACGTAGATGATATTATGATGGGAGATTTTTCTATTTGACCTATCACTATTCCTTTTTGTTGAAAGGTCTATATTACCCTTAATGAAATGATTCTTTCTATATTGCAACATATATCCTAATCTTTTAAACATTTCATCTCCTACTTTGAATATTTGAATATAAATTCATTCTATGATCTAATAAATAAGAATAATTTACAACATATATTTCATATCTTCTAATTAAAATACTATATTTTTCAAATGATAAATTTATATTTTCTAATTGAGAGATAATATTCTTTATTTTTTCTAACATTTTTTCTAAAAGATTATATAATCCTTCAATTATATATCAAATAAATTGGTAATCTATTAAAATTCAAGCAGTATTTAATTTTTTAATGACTAGATTGAAAGATTTTTATATTTTATTAACTTATTATGTAATATTATAAAGGGGAGTATTTTGGATATCAAAATTGGCCAAAGGTTATTTTGGAAAAATGACCTCTTTGTTTGGGTCATTTCTATGTACTTGTGGGAGATTTTTCTATTTGACCTATCGCTATTCCTTTTTGTTGAAAGGTCTATATTACCCTTAATGAAATGATTCTTTCTATATTGCAACATATATCCTAATCTTTTAAATATTTCATCTTCTACTTTGAATATTTGAATATAAATCTATTCTACGATATAATAAATAAGAATAAGCTGCAAAATATATTTCATATCTTCTAATTAAAATACTATATTTTTCAAATGGTAAATTTATATTTTCTAATTGAGAGATAATATTCTTTATTTTTTCTAACATTTTTCTAAAAGATTATCTAATCCTTTAATTGTATATCCTGGCATTTATTCATAATCATCAATTAATCCGTACAATTCTTTAAGATTTTAAAAAGATTCATTCTAATTTTAGCGAAAGTTTAAAAGTTTTACCGTAGATTTGATCTGGACATTTATTCTTAGAATCGAGTGACCTTCAAACTCTGAATCTGTAAACTATTTCCTTAAACGGCCTCCTGCCTTCATGAAATTGTTACTATTTCAGCCACTTGCTCTCACTGTATCAACTTTTAAAGAATAAAATTCTAGATTTCTGTTAAAGAAAAACTTTATTTTTGCTAAAATAAGAAGAAATTTTTTTATCGGATCTTTTAAGAATTTATGGGAATAAAGATTTAGAAACTCGTAATCATATCAAAATATTGGAGTTTTATTTCTGTCAAAATTTATACAAAACTTCTATTTGATACAAAGGGATTTCCAGAAAAACTGATTTTTCAAACTAGGAATGATTTTTTGAGTAACTATTGCTTACAACTCGAAATTTCAAGATAAGATGATCTTTCTCTATGGCAATGTCTCTATTTATACAAGTTTATGAGACTCTATTACATCATTGAGTATATCAGCAAGACACACTTGCCTCTCTATTATTTTTCTCATTGGGTCTACATCTTCACATGTTGCTTCAATTTTTTATCTAAAGAGCATCTTTTTCTATTATTACTCTTTATCTTCAATGTCCTCACATGCAGCTGCATTATTATTTTCCATACACCTTTGTCAAATGTGCTATATTATTGTCCTCTTTCTTCAATTCTTCACATGCAGTTGCGGCACTCCCTGAGCTGACAAGATTCTTTTATAGTGGTAGGACATCCTAGAAATTAATGTATATCAAATCAATATAGTCTTTTAAAATTTTTGATTTTCCATATCCTCCATTGGATACCAACATCCAATTTTCATATTGGCATAAGTATGAGAATTTTTTATTAAACAAAATTTTGGCAATGTTGTAAATGGTTTTAATTCCAAATACTCTTCTATGTCTGATCCATGATTTTGTTACTGTTAGATATTTTTCATTATTTTGTATTTATTTATTTTTAGAAGTCTTTGAATAGGTGCATCTGTTCGTTTTTTAACAATCACCTCCAGTAGATGTATGCAAAGATTTCAAGGGACACACCTATTCAAACGGTTGCCTCAATTTCTATAAATTTTCGACGAATTCTCGTTTGCAAAACACATTAAAAAAACTTATTCTTCTTTCTTTCTCTTGGCATCAATCAGTTATTTTCGAGTGTCTTCTTGGTTTGATCAAATAATCACAATTTGAATCAAACGTCTCCATTGTATCATGAGAGAGATTTTCTATTATACCCCAATTGTGACTTTGTTGGATAGGGGAGAAATATCTCTTAAAAGATAACATTTTTTCATGTCTTGGAGTTCATTAAGTATTCAGATTTCCCTACATTTTTCTCAACAGTTACTATCGGAACTTTTCTATTATTTTCTGTAACATCAATTTGGAAATTGGCTGCAACGTATCCAATTAAGATTATGTATTCAACTGGATAATAAACAACCGCATCATATTCTGGACTTTTTGAATAGAATTTCAAAAATATTTTCCTTCATCTGACAAATCTGGATACTTATTTAATGAATATGTTATCAAACTTTGAAATTTCAATCAAATATTTTCCTGGATATATCAAATTCATGAATTCATAATCTGCCATAATTTTTATAAATGAAGGGTCACCTCATTTCATGTCTGTTATTTTGGGATAAACATTATTTCTCGGAGAAATGAAATATGAATCACTCATTTTTATTTTATAGGCAATTTTGACTATTTCGATATATTTTTCTTCTTTTGGATCTAAAGAGATTTAATCTTCTTGGTCTATGATGC